AGACTAAAGTACCAGACTAGCGATACAAGAATAGCGGTACCAGATTAGCGATGCCAGATTTATATGACAGAATAGCGGTATCAGACTAGCGGTACCGGATTAGCGGCGCCAGATTATTGCGCCAGACTAGCGGTACCAGAGTAATGTACCAGACGAAAGTACCAGACCCGTTGTACCAGATTAGCCGCACCAGATCAAAGTACCAGATTAGCGGTAGCAGACTAAAGTACCGGACTAGCGGTACCAGATGAAAGTGCCAGACTAAAGTACCACATTAGCAGTACCAGACTTAAGTATCAGATTAACGGCGCCAGACTAATGGAGATTCATGGCGCCAGACTTATGGCGCAAGGCCCCGTCAGCGTGGTACCAGACTCTTGCACCAGACGATTGTATCATATTAATGTACCAGACTAGCGGTACCAGACTGAAGTACCAGACTAGCGGTACCAGACGAATGAACCAGATTAAAGTACCAGGCTAGCGGTACCATATTCAAGTACAAGACTAGCGGCACCAGACTAAAGTGCCAGATTTGTACCAGACCTAGTGCGCCAGGCTAATGTACCAGACTAATGTGCCAGACTAATGTACCAGACCAGTGGCGCCAGATAAACGGCGATGGCGCCGGACTAATGGCGCCAGATTCAAGCACGAATGCATTAATGGCACCGAACTCATGGCGCCAGACTAACGGCGCCAAACTAACGGCGCCACGCCAGACTAATGGCGCCAGACTAGTGGCGCCATACTAATGGCACCAGACTAATGGCGCAAGACGAATTGCACCCGACTAGTGGCGCCAGACTAGCGTTACCAGGCTAACGGCACCAGGATAGCTGTACCAGACTAATGTACCAGACTGAAGTACCATACTACAGTAGCATACTGATACACCAGATTAATGTACCAGACTAAGGTGTTGCACTAATGGCGCCAGACTCATTGCCCCCGACCAATGGAACCAGACTAGTGGTACCAGACTAACGTACCAGACTACTGGCGCCAGACTGACGGCACCCGACTCATGGCACCAGTTTAGCGGTACCAGACTAAATCACAAGACTAAAGTACCAGATTGATGACACCAAGATTAATGGCACCAGATTGACGGCACCGGAGTAGCAGCATCAGACCAAACCACTAAATTAGCAGCACCAGACGAGCAGTACCAGATTGAAGCACCAGATTAACGGTACCAGATTCGCAGTGCCAGACTCATGACACCGGACCAATGGCAACAGATTAATGACACCAGACTCGAGTGGTGTCTTGGACATAAGTCTGGTACATGAGTCTGGCACATCAGTCTGGTACATTAGTTTGGTACCACGCTTGTGGCTAAGAACTACTCTCCGATGACGATGGTGATGAAGAGAATGATGATGCTGATGATGATGATGATGCTGATGATGATGATGATGATGATGATGATGATGATGATGATGATGATGATGATGATGATGATTTTGATTATCATGAAGATGATGCTGCTGCTGATGATGATGCTACTGATGATGATGATGATGATGATGATGATGATGATGATGATGATGATGATGATGATGATGATGATGATGATGATACTCGGGGGTGGACAGAACCCCCAACAGTGACACGTCGATTAGTGAGTTGTCCGTTTTCGGTTCTCGAGAGGGCGCCGTGGCCCGTGGCCCTTACTTTCCAGGCTTGCGCCCGCCAGATTTGGGCATCAGGTCGTTTTCACTAAACCAGGTTTTACTAAAGGGGGGTCTGTCCATGCCCGAGATACTAATGATGATGATGATGCTGATGCTGCTGATGATGCTGCTGGCGATGATGACGTTGATGTTGATGGTGATGAGAATGATTATGATGATGGTGGTGATGATGTTGCTGGTGGTGGCGGTGGTGATGCTGACGATAATGATGATGAGAACAATGAGCAGGAGGAGGAGGAGTAGCAGCAGCAGGAGGAGGAGCAGGAAGACCGCCACATGTCTTCACCTCAACGCGGTCTCATGGAACTTGGTTGGGTCGTCTTGAGGCTGCATTGAGGCTTGGGTTGTCTTGGCCTCCTGTGAGGCCGTCTTGGGGTCCATTGGGGCCCTCTTGGGCCGTCTTGGGGCTCTTCTGCGCCGTCTTGGGGCTCCGTTGGGCATCCTTGGGGCTCTCTTGGTCGTCTGGTGGGTGTCTGGGGGGCCGTCGTGCGGCCGCCTTGGTCCGTTTAACGGCCTTCTAAGGACGTCTTGGGTCCCACGGGAGGCCCGCTTAGGCCGTCTCGGGGCCGTCTCGGGTGCTTCTTAGGCTGTCGTGGGACGTCTTGGGCCATCGTGGGACCTTCTACGAGGCCTCTTGGGCGTTATTGGGGAGATCGTAGAGGCTTCTTGGGCCGGCCGTCTTGGGGGCCTCTTGGGCCGTTCTGGGGCCATCTTAGAGGCGTCTTGGGCGATCTTTGGGCGATCTTTGGGCTCTTGGGCCGTCTCGGTCCGTCGGAAGGCCGAAAAGAAGCACATGTCAAAATGCTTCAAAAACCTTAGGAAATTCAGTGTTGTGGGTCTTTTTCTGGCTTTCCTGGAGGCCCTCTTGGAGGCCTCTTGGGCAGTCTTGGGCCAGCTTCGAGCCAACTTCGGCCATCTTGGTGGGTTCCTGGCACGTCTGACGCCGTCGGGAGCCATCTTGGGGGCCTCTCTGAACCGACTTGGGGTCCTCTTGGGGCGCTTCGGGGCCGTCTTGGAGGCCATCTTGGGCGTCTTGGAGGTCTCTTGGGGCTCTCTTGGGGCCCTCTTGGAGGCCTCTTGGGCCATCATGGGGCCCTCTTGGAGGCCTCGTGGGCGATCTTGGCGGCCTCTTGGGCCGTCTTGAGCCGTCGAAATGCCGAGAATTGGCAAATGCCCAAATCCTTCATAAAGCTAATGAGAATCAATGATTTTGGCCTCTTCGGGCCCTCCTGGAGGACCTCTTGGAGGCCTTTGGGCCGTATTGAGGCCCCTTGGGCCGTCTTGGGCCATCTTGAGGCTATCTTACGCCATCTTGGGTGCATCTTGGGCCGTCTTGGAGGCATCCTGGGGCCATCTTAGTTAGCCGTCTTGGAGGCCATCTTGGCCGTCTTGGATGCATCTTGGAGGCCATCTTGGGCCGTCTTGGAGCCGTCTGGACCAGGAAAACCCTTTGGAACCGTGTCGTGGCAAGTTTTCGGCATCCTTCGGGTGGCCGGCGGGACGGCCCGAAGCCCTAGGCGGAGTTCATTTGGAAAAAGAACCAAAACCAACAGCGAAAGGATCCAGCACGCCGGGCACCCCTGCGATGAATCGACAGGGGGCGGCGGATCGAAGACGCCTACGGCGAATCACCGCCGCCCCCTGCCTTTTTGGAAGCGCCTATGTGGCCGAACGTTGAGGCCAATTCTGCCAAGCTACTGGACTGGACCATGTGTTCCCCGCATCGGTTTGGAAAGCCTTCGGGGAACACGTGGGCATCTTGAAGGTCCTCTTGGCCGTCTGGAGGCCATTTTGACCCTTTCGGGCCTTCTTTGAGGACGTCTTGGAGGGCTCTTGGGCCGTCTTCGAGGCCATCTTGAGCGTCTTGGAGACCTCTTGGGCCGTCTTGGGGGGCCTCTTGGGGCCGTCTTGGGCCTCTTGGGCGATCTTTGGGGGCGCTTGGGCCGTCTCGGGCTGTCAGAAGGGAGAAACACAACAAATGCCACAACCCTTCAAAAACTCATGGGAAATCCATGAGGTTGGCCTTTTCCGGCCTTCCTGGAGGCCCTCTTGGAGGCCTCTTGGGCCGTCTTGGGCCATCTTAGGGCAATATTCGGCCGTCTTGGTGCGTCGGAAGCCGTTTGGGGGGCCTCTCTGGGCCGTCTTGGAGCCCTCTTGGGGTGCTCCAGGGCCGTCTTGGAGGCCATCTTGGGCCGTCATGGGGGCCTCTTGGGGCCGTCTTGGGGGCCTCTTGGGCCGTTCTGGGGCCATCTTAGAGGCCTCTTGGGCGATCTTTGGGCGATCTTTGGGGGCTCTTGGGCCGTCTCGGGCCGTCGGAAGGCCGAAAAGAAGCAAATGTCAAAATCCGTAAAAAAACCTCCGGAAATTCAGTGTTTTGGGCCTTGTCTGGCTTTCCTGGAGGCCCTCTTGGAGGCCTCTTGGGCCGTCTTGGGCCAGCCTCGAGCCAACTTCGGCCATCTTGGTGGGTTCCTGGCACGTCTGACGCCGTCGGGAGCCATCTTGGGGGCCTCTCTGAACCGACTTGGGGTCCTCTTGGGGCGCTTCGGGGCCGTCTTGGAGGCCATCTTGGGCGTCTTGGAGGTCTCTTGGGCCGTCTTGGGGCCCTCTTGTGGCCGTCTTGGAGGCCTCTTGGGCCGTCATGGGGCCCTCTTGGAGGCCTCGTGGGCGACCTTGGGGCGATCTTGGCGGCCTCTTGGGCCGCCTTGAGCCGTCGGAATGCCGAGAAGAGGCACATGCCCCAATCCTTCAAAAAGCTACGGAAAATCAAAAGAATTTGGTCTCTTCGGGCCCTCCTGGAGGACCTCTTGGAGGCCTCTTGGGCTGTCTTGGAGGCTTCTTGAGCGAACTTGGAGGTATCTTGGACTCTCTTAGGCCGTCTTGGAGGCCGTCTTGGACCATCTTGGGCGGACTTGGAGGCCATCTTGGACCATCTCGGGGCTTCTTGGGGGCCTCGTGGAGCCTCTTGGGGACTTCTTGTGGGGCTTGCTGGCGACCTCGGGGCACCTGGGCTCGAAATCGCCGCTTGAGTTCCCCATCTTGCTCCGGGGCCCTCTTTGGCCATCTGAGGCGGCTCTTTAAAATCTCTCGAGTGTTCGGGAGGTCGTCTTAGGCTGGCTGAGGAGCCCTCGGGAGCCCCCAGGAGCTCCCCGGAAATTGCTGAAATCCGGGAAATCCCAGGAGAGGCTCGGAAATTTGGGGGTCCAGGCCTTTAGAACCTTACTCCTCCACTTGTCATGGCTGCAGGGCTGCATGAGCCTTCGGGCACTGCACTTCGTGCTGACGGCACGGTGGTGGATATGTAGCCATTGTGGCTCAAGGGCACTCGCAGGGTAGAGCGCTATGAGATCCCCCCGCACTTGACGTGTCGCAGCCGGTCCTGCCATCCCGCACTGTTGGCCATGTTCCGCTACGAATGCTGCTTTAGCTCTGGCAGACAGTTCGTCTTCACGGAGCGTAAGGTCGCCATGAATCGAAGACGAACAAGTTGCATAAACCTATCTGTTCGGAGCTCCGCTTGGCTTTCGCGGATCTGCGCTGGGCCCCCTTGGCGGCGCCTCCAGCGCCACCTCTGACGCGCTCCGCGCGCCAGGGAGGGGGGTCTTAAGAAATCCGCACGGATCTCCAACACTTTATGCTTACGCAGTTGTGTCGTCGTCTCATGAAGCAAACGGGTCCTGAGGAAAACGGGCCCTGATGAGGGCTTTCGCCGCTTTCTGACTCTCGGGCCCTCCCTGGGCCCCCGGGGGGGCCCCCTGGGGGGCCGTCAAAAGAAATTGGGGTGTGAAGGAGTGGTCCCCGGGGACGCCTCCGGGTCCAGGACCCGCTTCCCGAAGAACCCGCGTCCTTCATGCTGGGAAAGGGCTGGCCAATCGGTGAGCGCCAGCTAGCACTCTGCCTGGCATCACTGTTGGCTGGGGTCTACCTGTTTTTCTTCATCAGCTTCGCCGGCGTCGCGGCCTTTGAAGTGGTGATGCTATGCTTAGCGTCCTGCGCCGCGCGATCCGCGTACGTCTGGTCGTTCCACGGAAGCTCCAACACAGTAGATCACCTCGTGTATGTGGTGATGGTGGGCATTTTCACTGGAGTCTTGCTTGTTTTTCTCAGCTCGGTCAGGCTGCTGCTCTCACTGGAGACGAGCGCCGCGAACAGGTGCATGCTGTTTAGTGTCTCCATCATGATCATGGGCTTCCTCACGTACAGCTACCTCACCATCGCCTGCTCCGAGGACGAGCGGAAGCACCAGATCCGCCCCTGCACCCAAGAAGGCTGCACCCTCCAGACCATGGAGCTCAGCTGCCACGGGGAGGGACCAAAGGACAACGGCAGGGACGTGTACGGAAGGTTTCTGAAGTGGATCGTCAGCTGGAGGTGGTGGACCGACGTGCAGGACCACAGCGCGACGGCCGAGGACGAGCGCAGGCAGTCGGACGCCATCACCGTGCACAACCACTCCCTGAAGCTGATCAAAGTCTGCTTCTACTCGCCGGCGGACCTGGTCTGCTGGGTGCCCTTCGGTGGCGTCTCTGGCCGCTGCGTCGGGCTTGTCGATGCCGGCAGGAGCCGCTCGTTCCATTTTCCGCGCGCGGACGGGGACGACGGCGGCGGCCCCTACCGGTTGAAAGTCTTCCAGCCCCGGCTCCTGGACAAGGAGCTCGCCTGCTTCCCGCAGGCTCAGGGGTAACGTTCGAGGGGATAGCCCCATGGGAGGAAGGCATCGACCCCCAATCGCCCACTCACTGCCGATGGGGGCCGGACAATTAGCCCCACCCCGCCCAGGAGCGTTCGAATTCGCTGTCGGGGGCCTACCGCCGATCTGTCGGCGATGTACTGTAGATTCCAGGTCGATGTTTCACCCCCCCGAGTCGGTCCCCCCCCCTTCCGGTGCCCTTCAGAGGCGCAGCGCGGCCAAAACCTCGCCTTCTTCGACGTCGAGGGCACAGTCCGGCGCTCGCGGCTGCTCTCGAACTCGACCTGCCGCTCCCTGTCGATCAGCACCTGCCTCCCCGAGAGCTCCGAGGACGAGGCGGCGCCCACGTCACCGGGCACGCCCACAACGGCAGGCTCGCCAGGCTCGGACGACGCGAGCGCAGGGAGGCCGCCGAAGAGCAAAGGTCGGGGGAGCGCAAGGCTCGAGTTCGCCAGAGCTCAGACTTGCCGACGCTTTTTGACAGGCCCGTCCTGAATTCTGGCGATCCCGTGTTCGTGGAATGTTTGCAGCGAGAGTTCGCGTCACATTTCAGATTGGGCCTCGTCATTTTCCTCACGGCCCCGTCAGGCCAACCCGAATCCCCGTAACCTGAGCCTCACGTTGCCCCGAAAGAAGGGCATTGACAAACACTTTCGGAGGGCCGCGCGGAGGCCCCCATGCGCTTCGGCGCCGCCTTGGAGCGCTCCGCGCGCCAGAAATCCGCGCGGGCCTCCGACAGTTTGTGACTTCTGTTTACGCCGTGGTTCCCTCCCCTATAGGCCGACCCCCGCGCAGGCGAAGCACGGCTCGACCAGCGACCTGGGCCCGCCGCGGCGAGGAGCGGGTGGCGCCACCGGGGGGACCGGGCAGGGTCGGAGGAGGGGCGGAGGACCGGAGGGCCGGCCCCTGCCCCGGAGAGCGTGCCGGGGACGTGAGCAGCAGTCAGAGCGGCCTGTCCCTTCCAGGAGGCCCCTCGCTCCTCCTCCCTCCCTCCCTCCTCGCTCCTCCTCCTCCTCCTCCTCCTCCTCCTCCTCCTCCTCCTCCTCCTCCTCCTCCTCCTCTCCTCCTCCTCCTCCTCCTCCTTCTTCTCCCTCCTCCTCCTCCTCCCTCCTCCTCGCGCCCTTCTCCTCCCTCCTCCTCCTCGCCTCCCTCCTCCTCCTCCCTCCCTCCCTCCCTCCCTCCCTCCCTCCCTCCCTCCCTCCCTCCCTCCCTCCCTCCTCCCTCCTCCTCCTGCCCTCGAGAACGCCCAGGGAACGCGAGCCATGGTCCGAGCGACCCTGCCCCTCCCGAGAGCCCCCCCCCCCTATGCCTCCTCCGGGATGCCGCCCGTCTCGCCGTGGCTCCCTTCCTTCGCACCGCCGGAGGACCGCGGGGAGGCGGCCTCTTCAAGCGCCAGACCTCGGGCGACAACCTGGGAGGCGGCCCCTTCAGGCGCCAAGTCTCGAGGGACAACCTGGGAGGCGGCCCCTTCAGACGCCAGGTCTCGGGGGACAGCCTGGGAGACAGCCCCTTCAAGCGCCAGCCCTCGGGGGACGACCTGGGGCTCCTCGCCCTGGAGAGGTCGCGCTCGGACGACCACCCCGGAGCATCCGCCTCGGAGGCTGCCCGGCCGCAGTTCCGCCGAGCCGGGCCGGACGAGGTCGTCGTCTGCAACCGCAGCAGCCAGGAGATCTGCGCGCGCCTGTTCAGGTCGAACGACTACTGCTACCTCGTGCCCCTCGTCGGCAAGCTCGCCGCGTGCGGCGACACCATACTCCCCGACTGCGAGCGCCGCTTCAATCCACCGACCACGTCCGACAGGGACTTCACCCTGAAGGCGTTCAGGGGCGCCGAACGGATGGGGACTGGCTCAAAGGGGGGAGGGAACATCGACCCTAAATTGCCCACTCGTCGCTGATCCGGGCTTTGGCGCCCCACTCTGCCCGCGAGCGTGCGGCTTCGGATTCGGGGAGAACGTCGCCGATCCGTCCGCGGCATGCCGGCGGCTCCAGGCCGACGCTGCCCCCTCCGAGCCAGTGCCCACCCATGCCCCCCCCGGCAGCCCTCCCTCTGGTGAGCGACGCAGAAAACAGGGTCGGTTGCGCGGACATTGGCGCGCGTAAGTTGCCTGCGCAAGACGGCACACAGGCGCCCCCGGTCTCAGCCCAACGTGCCGCGCCAGCGGCGCCCGTGAGCCACCGCGCGCAGGGTCGCTTTGGCATCGTGCGCAAGGGCGCGCTGTTCTTGCCGCTCAGGTGTACAGCGTGGGTGCTGGAGCCCGCGAGCTGACCTACCTCACCGCGTCGCGCGGGCACGCCTACACGTTCTGCGACTCGCTGCTGTCGTAGCTAGTCGGGGGGGGGGGGGGGCGCGGGGCGCCGTGCGTGGGAGCGCGCGGCCCGCCCGAGAGGCCACGCGAGCCCACAGCCGCGCGGCACGAGAGGCAGAGAGATCGGAGGGGGGCTTGTCGAGACAGCGGCGGCCTTGCCTGCCGTGGTTCGTCCTCGGGGGGCCTCCTGGGGACTCCTCGTCGCCACGGCTGGCTCCACCTCGAAGAGCGGGTTGGGGTGGACCCCGGGAGGGGTCGTGGGACCGGCTGGTAGGTGTTAGGCCATGGTCTGGGATGCTGGAGTTCCCCGAGCAGTTCGGAGCTTTGCTGGGCCGTCTGGAGCCGTCCAGTGGCGACGCAGGGCTTGAGCTCCCCCCCTCGGCACCTCCCTCCGTTTGGATTCGCCGCCGTGGTCGCAGCTGTCCCTCCTGCCCTCGGCGGAAGCCGGCGGAGGCAGAGCGGCGGCGGGACCGCCGGCGGAAGGTCAACAGCAAGCGGCGGAGGCAAGAGCGAGGCGCTAGCGCTGTTGGGTTCAGGGCTTCCGTAGCCGGACACCCGGAGGAGGGGCAGGCGTGGGGTCGGGGGCGGCGGTGGACGGGGGGGGGGGGCGCGTTCGCGCACACTGGCGTCCCACGGGGCAGCAGACCATGGTGGTGGTGGGTCTGCTTCTTCCCTCGTGGAGACGAGGGTGCACGGCTTCCCCTCGCAGCATGATGGTTACTGCTCCAATAATACACCGTAGTTAGTGAGCCGAGCGGCTAGGTGCAGGTCCGACAGGGGTTTCAAGTCCTGTAACATATTCTCAGTCTGTCTGCGCCACCTAGTCTGCTTGTGCGCCGAGATGCGTTTGAAACTCAAGACGCCGACGTTGGTTCAGCGCAGCGCGCATGAGCTGATGGCAGTCGGCTGTAATAGACGAGCACGCACTGCATGCTTGTGTGGGTTGTGATCGTGTCTCATGGTTCCCGTGTCCATGCGCTCGAGGTGCTCGTGCACTCGCGCGGGGGGGTAGTGTAGTAGCTAGGCGCCGGCTCCGGTTAGCATGACAGGACAGCCGAGAATCGATCCTCGAGCGATTCTCGAGCGATCCCCAATCCTCCCCGATCGTCACGGGCCTCAGGGTCGGTCGACCCCGTGTGCCCGTACCCAGTCTGTGGTCTGGTCGGAATCTCGAGTCTTGACTCACGACTTCAAGGCTCATCGCCACAGGCATCAGAGTCGATCCCACGTGCCTGTCCAGCCCCGCGCGTCGCAGCCTAGACCAGCGGAGCGGCCCTTCGTCGAGGTGGCCTCGCGAGGGTGCGGAGATAACCGCAGGGCGCGGGGCGCAATGCACGAAGGCAAGCGACCCAGAACCTTCTTCCTCGATCCTCGATTCTCCCCCTCCTTCTCCTCCTCCTCGGCGTCTCCGTGGCGCCTCCTCCGAGAATTGCCGGAGGGCGGGTCTGTCTACAACCGCGCCCCGCGGCCGAGACTGCGGCGAACCCGCGCGCGCGGGCGGAGCGGAGCGGCTCCCGGAAGCGAGCCGCAAAAGTTTGCCCGTGCAGGGCTCGTCCGATCCACCCCTCTCGCGTAGGCTCCCTCTCTCCAATCGTCTCCCCCCTTTCCTCCTTCCTCCTCCCCCCTTCTCCTCCGCACCTTTCACTCAAGCAACGTTGGCTCGAACGTTTGTTCGCACCCATTCCTCTGGGCTTTCTCGCAGCGCTTGAGGGACCGTGATCGTTCATCCCAGCCAGTTTCTTGAACGGTCACCGGCTAACGCAGAGGAGTTTCTATCAGCCATGGCAGTTTTGTGGAGCAGGTGCGCATCTTGCAGCAGGTGCGAGTGGAACCAAGTGCTCACCAACCGTAACCTGAAGTGTCAGGGGAGCGGCGCCAAGGTCACCCTCTTCCGCCCCAAGTCCAAGGTTCGGTTCAGCGACAAGGAGGTCGCCGAGTTCGACGTGGACGACGAGGGCCAGTTTAACTCCGAGGGCGGGCGGCGGCCGCTCCCAGCAGGTCCTCTTCGGCAGCCACGCGGTGCGCGCTCGTCGTCTCCTGGCGGCAAGCGCAGCGGTGGCAAGGGCAAGGTCTCCTTTGTCCAGGAACTCTTGCAACAAGCAGTGGCAGCCACGAACGACCAGCAGTTGCAGGCGAACTTGCAGGCCCAGCTGGACAGGCTGGGCCAGGCAAGTACCTCAGGCCCGCCCAAGGCGAGCGTGTCCGAGGAGTTCCGCCGCGCCGACGGCGCATGGCGGGACGCAGACCATCGGCATCAGCAGATGGTGGCGCACGCCGTTCGCCTCCGCAGCAACCTGGCGGCTGCGGAGGCGAAGGAGAAGGCAGCAGCTCTCAGCTTGGCGGAGGCAGCGCACGTGAAGCTCTTGGCGACCCAGGCCGTCGCCAATGCGGAGGGCGTCACGCAGTGCGAGGAGCGGCCCAGCAAGCTGATCACAGTCCAGTGGGACGAATCCTTTTTCGACAACCTCGACGACCTGGAGGCCACCGACACCGAGAAGACGGCGCTGAGCGGCTTGCACGAGCAGCTCAAGAGCGCCCGTTCTCACTTGGAGGGCAAGGAGTCGGATATCCAGGAGTGGTTGAGCAAAGCCCAGCAGCATCGGCAGGAGATCGAGGAGCGCATGGCGAAAAAGAGGAGGCAGCAGGCTCCTCAGGCCAAGGCGCCGCCAGCGCCAGGCGCGGCAGCGGCTGGCGGAGGGCCCCCCCGCGGGCGCGCCTGCAGCGGCGCCCGCAGGCACCGCCCCCGCCGCCGCGCCCGCAGCTGCCCCCGCCAAGAGCCCCTCGGCCCAGGCGGAGCAGGCGCAGCGCCAGGCGCGCATGGAGGCCGAGGCCGAGAAGCTGTCGCAGGCGAAGTTACAGGCCGAGGTTCTCAAGTCCAAGTCGAAAGGCAAGGGCTGGGCGGCCGCGGCGGAGCCGCAGGCAGCGGCGGCGGCTGAGGCGGAGGGCGGCGCCGACGACCTGTGACTAGGGACCACAGATACTACGACGAGTTTGCAGCCAGCGGCCAGGGGTGAGAGCGACATTCCAAAGATGTCCTATGACAATGTCACCTGTCTCTCGGATAAAACGTGGAAGTTCATCGAATCCAAGTCCAGGACATATCAGTATTGGGCCCTCGTCGGGACTCATGCCGCAGTGCAGTCTGAAGTGCGAGAGTGGGATGCTAAGAGTCGTAAGATCGGACTCCGCATGCATCACAACTGTGCACGTCGTTCTGGCAAAGTAGTTAGTTCCAGCAAGCAGGCCCGCTCAAACGAAGGGGGCGACATTTTCTTAGTTCCGGCGTGCCTCCAGGCCCACAGTTTGCACGAGGCCAAGGCTGCGTCAAGGCAATTACAGGATGCACATCAGTCAGCTCTCGACGGGTTCTTACCCATGATGCTTCATTCCTCAGGCTACTCTGTCGTCGTCATTGTGCTCTACGGTCTGCCGCCCATTGCCATGTCTGCCAGGAATCGCATTCTGCTTCAGCGCATAGGCGCACTAACAAAGTCTCTCAAGGTGCCCTGGCTCATGATAGGAGACTTTAACATGGATCCTTCTGTCTTGCGCCGCTTTGATTTTCCCCAGCGTCTGGATGCTGTCATTCGCGCCGCTGACGTTGAGGGCGCGTGTGCGCAGAAAAAATGTCCTGACACCATGCTAGATTATGTTCTTTGCTCTCAGACCGCGCTTCCGTTTGTCTAGCATATCGAGGCAGTGCGAGCGGCGCCGCGGGGTCCGCACTTGGGGCTTGTGGTCCACTTTCGGAGCTCAGGGCTGCCCTCGCGCGCGCGAGGTCTCTCGAGCCCCCCTGCAAGCTCCCACTGGCCCCGAGGCCCGAGCAGGACCCCGCGCCAGGCTCTAAGTCCAGCCAGGCTCGGTCGCAGCGGTCTCTCGCGCGGGTCGTTGCCCAGGAAAAACGACCCGCCCTATACGCCGCCCTTTCTGGCGACTGCTTCCAGGAGTCTCCGAGCTCTCGACCCATCCCGAGCGACGAAGGAGCTCGCAATGGGCTCTTGGAAGTAGAGGATGGTGAGTTGGCTGCCTGGCCTCGGGGGGTCTGTGGTCGGCGCGTGGCGCGCCGCTCCCTGAGGCCCCAGAGCAGCGCAACATAGCAGCCGAGCATGACCTTTCACACGGTCTATCTCGCAGCGTCTCACATTCCAAATCTTCTAATGCTGACCGGTATGATGCTCAACATGTTCTAGATAGTCAGAAGCCGTGCCCAGCCCTGGAGGTGCCCCGACCTGAAGGTGCCGAGTTTACCATTCCCCCTGCCCTTCTTGGGAAAAGGTGAGGCTCCAGGTGGGTTTCACCCCAGGCGCTTCCCTTGTCTCCTCCGTCTCCCCTCAGCTGCTGCAGTCTGTAGCCTTCAGGCTAAAGCCTCAAGCCAGCTCAGCGGTGTCGGGGCTCTACGCGCCATGGGCCTCTGCCGCTGAATCAGCCATTCTGGAGCGCCACGGGAGGCAGGCCAGCCCTGGGGCCACGCGAGCAGCGGGGCCCAGGTTCTCCATGCAGACGCTGCGGCAAACACTTCATCTTCGTGAACTTCCGCTGCGTGATCAACGCAGTCAGAGGTGGGCGAGACTCCGCGCAGTGTTGAAGGGCCTCCACAGGCATCGGGGGCGTGACAACGGGCCCAAGCAGGTGCAGCAGCCCGAGGGGGCGTGCCTGCGCCTGTTCGGGCCAGGCCTGCAGGGGCCCACATCATCATCAAGGAGGGCAAGGGGCCGCCGTGGAGCCAGTGGCTGGAGCTGCCACAGCGTCCTCGGCGAGTTCCACTCTCGGTCTTGGCCTCTTTCGTGGACAACGCGAAGAAGGTCGTGGAGAGGTCCCAGAGGGCGGCTATGCATGAGTCGCTCACAGAGTTTCGCACGTGGATCACCGAACCGACGGCAGCAGGGATCTTGCACAAGTCATTGACGCTGCAGCCTCTCCCTCAGCACGAGGCCATCGCCGGCGACAGTGTTCTATTTCATCCCATCGATGTGATCGATTGCAAGCAGGTGTCGTTCAGGAGGCTTTGGGCACCCGATGCCTTGGACGAGGCAAGTGTAGTGGAGTTATTTCGGGTGATTCGCGAGGAGGCGGACATGGGCCCACTTCCCCCGACCACTGGCGATGACATCTATCGTGGCGCCGCCAAGATGCACATGAATGCGGGCATGGGCGTGAGCATGTTCACACCTGTGGACTACCAGCGCCTCCCGCAGCAGGCAGTGGAGGAGCTGGCCCTGGTGCTGCAGGCGGTCGAGGCCACTATGGCTTGGCCCGCGCAGCTCGCGCTCGTTCTCTGCCGCCTGATTCCAAAGGAGGCGGCGGGAGATCGGGCCATAGGCACCGCCCCCATGCTGGGGGGGCTGCGGCCCTTGCTGCGCGAGCCCGCGGTCAAGGACTGGTCGCGGGACAACGCGGCCGCCTGGGACGCGGCCATCGAGGGCAACCCGCGTCTCCAGGAGGCCGACCCCAGGGCAATCCACGAGGAGCTGGCGCACTCCATGGGCATGTGCTTCGGGCACGCGCTCACCGACATCCAGGACTTCTACGACTCGATCCCTTGTGACGTGCTGGCGGTGGGGGGCCCTTCGCGGGCTTCCCGCCCGTGGTCTTGGGATTGGAGCTCCTGCAGTGTGCGATGTGCAGAACATTAGTCCAGGGCGGCGCGGCCTCGGAACCCCTCCAACCGAGCCGCGGCGTCGTCCAGGGCCTTAGTGTTGGCACGCGCTTCGCGCGCATAATGACGTACTATGCAACGGCGCGAGTGACCACGGAGCAGTGGCGCGCAAGAGTTTAGTGAAGTGCATCGTGGGCACGGGCAGGGCATTGGCGCGCAGCAAGTTGCGCATCTCGCCCAAGTCCGCGGTCATCTGCACCAAGATCGAGGACGCAGTCTCCGCGGCACGGGCGGCGAAGCTCCGAGGCTTCCAGATCCAGGCGGCACGACGGGCATCGCACCTGGGAGTTGGTTTCAGCAGTGGACGACGAGGTCGAGCCATGAGAGTCAAGCGTGGCCTTCAGCACAAGCTGATGAGTAGCAAGATTGCGAGATTCTCTAGGGCCTCGAGGAAATACCAGCAGACCTCGAGGCTCGAGAAGGCAGGGGGGGCAACCAGCGGGCACGCACGGCTTCCAGGTTCATGGGGTGTTCGGGCAGCAGGCCACCGATTGTCGCCGACGGCTGGCACAAACGTGCGCCAGCCCCTCCAAGGGGCGATGTTTGACGACACTGCTAGACCTACGTGCCCCTGGTCAGGGCCCTGCGATAATCTATCCTAGAAGGACGATCGATTTCTGGTTGACTACGTGGCAGGCTCACCCTGACATCCGTCGCAGCATTCGTCACGCATGGCCGAAGATTGTCGGCAAGCTGCAAGACCTCCCTCCCAGGATTCAGGCCAGACGTGTGCAGGAACCCATATCGCCAGTGGTCTTATAGCTGTTGCGATTGAAGTGGCAGCCGATTGATCCCAACACGTGGTCATATCACAGTGAGTTCGGAACGACAGAAGAATGTCAATTTCCAGATTCAATTTACACTGATGTCAAGGCGGCTGACACGCACAAGGGCATCTTGACCGCCGTGGATGCCCC